TTTTTTTTTCTTCCCTCAATTTTACACCAAGCCTTTTTTTTTTTGGTTTTGCTTTCTTTCTTATATCCTTAATCTTTGATCTAGTCACTAAGATAATTCATTAAGTATTTGAAAAAATTACATCTAAGTTCTATAGAAAAAATTTTATTATCAATAAATCTTATGAAATTCATAACATACTCTCAAGCCTCAACTAGCAAGTTATAAATGCTTGTTGTTTAATTAGTAAATGTCATTTGTCAAGTTATTAATGTTTAGAATTTGAGATTTGAGAGTATTTTATAAATTTTATGAAATTTTTTGATAATAATTTTTTTCTGTGGGATATAGGTGCAATTTGTCTTAAGTATTTTTTATAAATATTCTTTAAATATGATTTGTTTTTAACCTATAACGAATTCTCACTTGAGAAAAATTTTTGTATTTGGACACGAGGGAGTGTGAATATTGTGCTATTATTTCAACTCCGTATAGCACAATCGATGAAAAACATGTTGATGCGTCCGAAAAAGTACAAAATACACGAAGGAGCATTCTTTGAATTCTCTTGGTCACAACGAGGCAGGGTAGAGAGGGCATATAGAAAGTTGAGAGTTCAAGTTTGAGCATTTCAATGCCGTGACCAACTCACCTGATTAATTTCTTTATTTAAAAAATCCTTAAATTTGGCAGGCAAGAAAACATTTGATTACTTTTTCAAGATGCTTTATTTAATTATTTTCTCTCCTTGTTAATAATCTGTATTATGAGTTAAGTAACCAGCTTAAATTATATATAATGCTGAGATTATCTCACCAATAAACATGGTTCGGTGACTTCGGTCAAACATTGGCAAGGAGAAGAGAGTAATTTTAATCTGGAAGAAATCAAAATTATACTGTCAACGAACAATCGGATTGAAGATTGACTTTTTCTGTTTATCATCATCATTATTTTGCAGCAACTTTTTATCGTTATTCTAAATTTAAAAAAAAACGAGAGAGAAAAAATATACTCCGAGGAGCTAATGGCTTGAGCGAAATATTATTTGGAAAAAACATACTTATAATTATCAATACACTGTAAAAAAAATAATAAATCACCTTTCAAAGCTTCAGGCTAAGAAAATAACATACCAGGCAAAAACTCCAACAGTGCCGTGGATTATTTTTCAACTTTATAACATGTAATATACATGGTAAATGATCTAAAAATTAATAATTTCTTATTATCTGGAGCCGGATTCTCAAAAATAATATTACGAGTTTACGACCACTTGCCATATTGCTGAAGATGGATTGGGACATATTTTTGGTTGAGAGGTAAGACAGAAGCAGGATTGGGTAATGAAGTTTTGCTTTCTTTGAATACTATGCATGTTTTGTTTACTGTTTGTTTTTTGTTGCTGCAGGTTTTCTTTTCTTTTCTTTTTTTTTTTTGTTTTTTGCTTCCTGGCTTTGCCAGTATTAGTGAGTGCAATATTTTTTTTTTCCATATTAATAAAATTGACTTTTATTGGTAAAAGAGCAATATTATGAGTATTCGTTTTCATGTTCAAGTTTACGAGATTGGAAATTTCGCAAAATCTCTGCAAATTTGTCTCGTCATGATCCACGTAGTTGGAGTTCCTAGCGTGGATAGTGGATACCAGAGCTATACTCATTTACATGCATGTAAATTTTAGTTTGTGCCTGGACATTCCTGCTACTACTTCTTGTCGTTGTTATTTTTTTCCTTGAAAGATAAAATTTTCTTTCGACTCTCACTTCAAATTATGAGTTTTACACATTTTTTTCCCTAAAAATTTCTTTTTTTTTTTTGAGAAGTACTCCCTCTTATCTTTAATATAAGACAAGGTCTAAAAAATCTTTTTGATCTTTAATATAAGACAAGGTTAGAGTAACTAATGTTTTTTTTTTTTCAAATTTCACTAATTGTTTATTTATTTTTGTATGAATTTCTATACAAAAATTTATTATTGTTATTAATTACAAGGAAGGGTAAAATTAAAAAAATTATATTTTTAAAATATAACTATCATTTTTTAATATACATGAAACTGATTAACTTTGTCTTATATTTCAAGGAATGGACACGAAGGGATTGGAGGTAAATTAATTGAATGAGGATGGAATTAAATTATAAAAAACCAACCAATAAATTAAATTTAGCAGAAAATGTTAGTCTCACACAACATTGCTAGCAGTAATTTGAATTTTTATTGAGAGGCGTGCCCAAATTTAATGTCTAATTATATCTCAAATAAATAGCTTCCAATAAAATGGCACTCATGCACAATAAAAATTCGTAAAAATCTATTTCAAATTTCCCTTGCAATCGAGCTATTTAAATGAAAAAAAAAATTAGAATAGAATTGACATGAAAGAAATATTTTGTGAGAAATGGGGAGGGGGTTCAAGAATAAAGTGGAAATTTTTTGTTTGCTGTTTTGTTTTGATAGAATAAGTGGTATATTTTGTGCTGTTGAGATCTCAGACATGGGCTGAGGAAAAGATCAATAAAGTAGGTTATGTATTGATTACTTAGTTTGAATCCCGAGCAAATAACCTTCCCCTATATCTCATAAAAGTTTTAAGGCTTTTCCATTGTCTCCTGACATTTATAACATATCCCAATCAGCACATCAAGCATTCAAAATCTTTTCTCTTAAGTCCTGATTAATCTGCAATTATACTAAAGTTTATACAAATTTTCTAATACATTGATTTCATGATACAAATTAAATTTATTATTTCAACTAGAAATATTGTATATCATACAAAGTAGAGCTGCACAAAAGACAGGACGGCACTGGACTTCACCCTAACCTGAAGTCCAGTCTCTTTCATGAAAAGAACTGCGTTAGGTAACCCATAGTCTGGTCTTATTCAGTGATAACTTGAAAATTAATAAAACCGAACTTGGTCCATAAAGCTGGAAGATTGATCCTGTCAGTCCAGTACTCATTTAACTTTTTTTCCTTTTTATTTTATGAGAAGTAATAATTCATTTCAACATAATAAACTCAATTAAAATAATAAAAAAACTTATAATAATAATAAGTCCATAATAATTTCCAACAATAAAAAAATATTTCTATTATAATTTAAATGATTTAAATTTATAACTTTAATAAAAACAGCACTTAATAACATTCAACAACACTACATTACAACAACAATTTAGAAACAAACTTAACAAATCTTCATACAATTATCTCCTTAGCATCAATTATATTTCAAACATTTGTGAAAAATAAATTAATTATAATTATAATAAAAAATTAATAGGACTGGATTGGACCAAGTGGTCTGAATGCCTAGTCTCTTGTTCAGTCCAACCCAAAGAAATGATCTAGTTTTTTTAGTCTTTTTAGTCCCGAAAAAACCAATGTCTATACGGACCGTACAAGACTGAGACCATCTCGAGTTGGACTGGACCAGATAGGATTGGAAGACTTTTGCACAGCCCTAATACAAAGTTTGAGAAAATGCACCTTATTATATATTATATAGGGAACACATATTTTAGTCCCTGCACTTTTCTCATATTTTACTATAAATTTTTATATTTTTTTAATATTTTAGATTCCTACACTTTTATTTTTTGATGTTTTACGTTCATTCAAGATCCCTATACTTTATTCATTTTGTTCATTTAAAAATTTAAAATATCAAAAAATGAAAGTATAAGGATCTAAAATATTGAAAAAAGTGTAGAAATAGATAGCAAAATACGAGTAAAATGTAAAAATTAAAAGATATATTTTTCCTATTATATATTATACATTGAAAATATTGATGATTTCCTCTGCAGTGATGATAAAGTTTGTTGCTTAATTTAGTTATGATTTATTATGATCTTCTTGCTATAAAGTAGAGACAAGCTTGTTGAGAATACGAAGCAGAGAGTAGGATCAAATCCATTCATGAGGATCTTTGACATTTATACTGAGGGAAGGTACCGCATTAATAAAAAATATTGCCTTTGTTTAATAAAACCGTTATCACAATTATAATAGCATATCAATTAGTATCACTCATATAATAACTAAAGGCTTATAGAATACATAAAAAATAATGTATTTCAAACAAGAAAATATAAAAAAAATATAAGCCTAATATCTGCAATTTAATTAAAAAATTATCTTGAAGAGAGAAATTTTGAATTAATGAATTTAACAGTACATTGAAATTTAAAAAGAACATACAAAACGTTGAATGCTCTGCGTGAATGCTTTTTTTATAAATAATTTTATGTTTTCAATTCATTAGTTCGTTCTTTGAATCTGAGACATTCCTTTAGTTTTTTACATAGAAAAATATTCCGACATCGTTAAATGTTTTTTTAACTATTACATTAAATTGAATGCAACAAAGACTGGACTCACATAAAGTTTTTATATTTTTACTGTTAAGCTGTGTTACATGATCTAAATATAAGAAATACGAAACTGTTTAATAATAATATCCTAGTCATTCATTTCCTTTTTTTGTTTGGCAATACAATCATAGAGTCATAGCCATTGATTTCTCATTAAACGAAACACGCATATTCACAAAAATTATACACGTGGAAATGAATTTACGCAAATACAAAATATCAAAAATTATTATCACACTTTTTTCCTAAATAAATGTTCGCAAATCACAATGTTATTTCTCCTTCACATTATTTCCATGCTTAAATATTACAAAAGATCTCATTCCGTTTCGCTTTTCTTTTGTGACACATCAAAGAAAAAGGTTCAATTGCATTATATTGGAGATCTAAACATTTGCAGGGAGATGATGGTCAATTACTGCGTTTCGAAGAACAAAGATCAAAACTTTGACAATTGCTTGCAAGATTCATTCATTTATTTGGCCACAAGAGAGAAAAAATATAATTTATTATTAGAGAGATTAATTTACCATAAAAAAACATGTGACCCGGTAAGCCGGTGAACCAGTAAACCCTCGAGGTATTCACCTTCCAACACCGTGCACCCTTTACATATACTCTCTCTCTCTCGGTATATGAGGACGCATGCGCCAAACCAAAACCTCTCTCTCTCTCTCACCCACTCTCTTCTTCTTCTTCTTCTTCTTCTTCCTCATCAGTTCTATCTCCTCCCTCGTAATTCGTGCTCGTTTGTCTCAGAGTGATCAATGGCGGCATAATAGGTATTGCGTTTCCCGAATTGTTGAGCTCTTTCGGCTTCTCTCTCGCATTTCCGACGCTAAACGACGAGACAAAGCGCGTTCCATAAAGAAACTAGATAACTGGTATTGTGTCATCATCTTCATCTTCGTTTGCTTCCTCTTATTGGTACCTTCTCTGACACGCGTGTGGTGAATGATATAATATGACGAGGAGAGTCTAGTGTTGTTCTTTCACGTTGTAGCTGTGTTGGTGTCCTCTTTTGGGTAACAGTAGAGCTTGGCAGTGATTTTGTCCTGTGTTTTTCTTCTGCAGCTCATGGATCTGAATCATCTGATATATTCTCTGCACAAATCCAAGCCTCGGAACTGTAAGTGGCACAATTGAATACGCTTTTTCAGTGTACTTGCTCTGGTTTTTCTGTTCTCACAGGAAAAAGAAAATATAAGAACCAATTGTTGTGCTCTGTTTGGTGAGTGAGAATAAATGAAGGCGAATCCTGAATCGGTTTGATTAGGTCGTCCCCTTTGCACATTACATTTGTGCGAGCATCTGTGGTTTTTGTACTTGTGTTCGTTTTCGCCGGAAAATGGAGCCCGGAATTTCTTCTTTGTCGCCGGCGAAACCTTTCTGATGAAGAAAATTTGCTGCTTCTTTAAATTGAAGAATTTCCATTCTGTTTTGAAAATCTCCTGATTAAGAAACTTGATACATCGTTCACTTACACTGCTCCTGTCAATTGCAGAGCTTCCATTCAGTCCCGCGCTGAATAACTGCAGAGCATCCGGAAATTTCGCCTGCAAAACCGGCTGATCAGAGTATAAAGGTCGAAGAACCTCTCTATTACACTTTGAAAAAAGAAAATCAATGGGAAAATCAACGAGTAGAGACTGGACGCAGATCTACGCGATCTACGGAATGGACCAATGGCAGACCCTAATCTTCCTCTTATGTCAAGCAATCCTCTTCTCCATCCTTTCCGTACTCTACCTCCTCTACTTCAACCCCATATGCGCCTTCTTTGAGCGATTGCTCTCAATAGCCGCCGTGCCCAGCGGCTCCGCCCGATTCGTCGCCGGCTTCACCGGCTCCGTCACTGCACTGTCCGCCCTCTGCCTCTTCTTCGCCGCTGCCAACTTCTTCTACTCCTCTGTCCCGCTCCACTACGACATGGCCCAACGGATTGTTTCCGCTGTCAGCGACTGGTCATCGGTGAAGCTAGCCCTAGACCTGGGCTGCTGCGGCCGCGGTATCCTTCTTAACGCTGTCGCGACGCAGCTCAAGAAAGAAGGGAGTTCGGGTCGGGTCGTGGGGCTTGACTGGTCGAAACGGACCACACTATCAACCTTACGGAGCGCGAAGATGGAAGGAGTGGGAGAGTACGTGACGTGTAGAGAAGGAGACGCGAGGAGGCTTCCGTTTCCCGATGACTACTTCGACGTGGTGGTCTCTGGGGTGTTCGTACACACAGTCGGCAAGGAATACGGTCACCGGAGCGCTGAGGCGGCGGCGGAGAGGATGAGGGCGGTGGGGGAGGTGGTGAGGGTGATGAAGCCGGGAGCAGTGGGAGTGGTTTGGGACCTACTTCACGTGCCGGAGTACGTGAGGAGGTTGCAGGAACTGAAGATGGAGGACATCAGGGTGTCGGAGCGCGTGACGGCGTTTATGGTGAGCAGCCACATCGTCTCCTTCCGGAAGCCTAGTCAGCAAGTCGTTGGGCCACCGGAGGTCCGCCTCGACTGGAGACTCTGATGACGTGGCAATACCTACACATAAAAAGCGATATAGGCATAGAAAAAAAGGGGTTTATTTACAAGTTACAATAATAAAAGTTTTTCTTTTTTTGGGTGTCTGGGGAGGCGAAGTCGAACCAGGGGTTTTATTGGTAAAAGGCAATGGGTGATGAGGATATTGTAGTCGTTTGCGAGGAGATATCAAATATTTAAAGAGGAAGAAAACGGTTACTATTATTGTTATTATAATATGATTATCATCAACCTTATAGTAGTACTCACTGATGCCTGATTTTTGTATAGAACTGAAAAATACGCAGAAGCAGGATAGGAAGATTAACCTTTAAATGAAATTTGTTTGCTGTTTTCTAAGAGTTCCTCTCTTCATGGTTGTATTATTGTAGTGAGAAATATTTTAATGCTCTCTTTGTTAATGCATCAATGCTCTCTTTTTTTTGGGGGGTCAGATGTAAGCATTTATTTTATTAGAAACTGAGATCTATGAAAAAACTGGGTTTTCATTCTCAAAATTTAGATTAGATTAGTGTTGAGATGGTCCAAACCATGGTTTGAGTGGTCAAAAATTGGTTGGGTAATTTCCCTTATATTTTTGTATGTTTTTTTTTTTCATTCAACCATGTTGAAGACTATGATCTAGGTTTGGTCAGGCGCAATTTGGATCAACTTTGACCTAAACGTCATTTTACAAACTCTAATTTATAAAATTTTAATTTTACAAATGCTAATCCAAGCACACAGTGTAAGCTGGCGTTAATTCCTACAAGGCTGCAACTCATTTTATGAAGAGTATCCAGCAGTTGCTTTGGAAAAACAAAATTTTGGGCTCTTCCAAGGACAAAAATACAAAAGTACTTGTGGTCACTATGCCTATTTTTGGATTTTTGCTGTTTATCTAATTTGTGTGGTTTCAAATTCTTCTCTAAATATTTAAAACATGGAAATTTGGATTAAGTTGCTTGTTTAAAGTGACAAACCATTAAATTAATGTTTTCATCAATGAAATATTTTGTTTTTAAAAAGTTTGATCATGTTTCGATTATGATTTTAATTAGTTCCTCTTAAATGCCTCAACCGGCACAATTTTCAGTGCTTCATGATTAGTGAAAACTTGAAAATGGGAGAGCGGTGAAACCAGGTAACAGTGTGTCGCTGTCTAATAAATCTCTGGCCCATGAGGTTTTTCATTTGCCTCCATGTGAGGTCGGGCTACAATTAAAGACGTCACCAAAATATTGATAAGAGGGGAAAAAAAAAAACAGTGCGACTTTGTGGACGAAGTGAGGCGATAAGACAGCAGAGTAGTGCGATCTGTTGAGGGGTCACTATCTTTGAATTTTTGAGAGTGAAACTTCAGTCTTCAACTGCGTTTCAAGATTGGTTTGGTGCTGGTCTCTGTCTTCCAAGCTAAAAAAGGTTGGTTGGTGAGGAGTGGCAGAAAAATTGTGTTAAGTTCAGTGTAATATTTAAGGCTCCATAAACTTGATTTCGTTTCGGGCTTGAAGATATGATACTGTCTTTTCGTACCAGATTGATTGTGATTGTTTAAACATGTTCATAAATGCATGTTTAAATGGGGTTAAAGTGTACAATGCCCCTCTTAAATGATATGGGTTTTCAAATTAGCATATGCTTCTGGATCTCACACCTCTGGACTCTGGAGTGAGGACTTGTGAAATGTTTGAAAACACAACGCTTCTATGGGCAACGGAACCGAGTACTTCTTACTGTAATCCTGTTTATAAAGTGTTTTACAGAAATAGTAAAAAAAAAATTCTAATTACAAGGCGTGAAACGAAAAGATGAAATTATATTTGAGAAATCATTTGCATAAATAAAAAAAATGATTTATTGTCTTTCTTTGATTGATTAGCGTAATTAGAAAACTTGCGATGCCTTTTTTTAATCAACAAAGCAATATAATAACTTTTCTCAAAACATTGGAGGGAGTACAAGTTACTAGAAAAAATTGATAACTCGTTTTACGGGTCATTTTCATAAAAAAAAAGGATTATTAATTATTTTATATCAATTTTACTCTTTTGTAATTTTCTATAAGTAAAATAAAAGGTAATAAATGATAAGGAAATTGATAAAGTGATTTCCAAGGAGATGCATTTACTAAGAGTACAACAACAATAATAACAAACTTTATTTTATCAGTTGGCACTGGATGTGGTTAGTTATATAAATTGTATGATATTATTATATTTTATTATAATGCATTTATTAAGAGTAGATTGATTTTTTTTTCTTTTTTAGATAAAATTAATATTTTAGTTATAATTCTTTAATTTCGGTGATATAATTAGAAATAATGAAAGGGAATGTGGTTTAGTTAGGAAGTCTGTCGAAAATTGCTCCAATTCTTAGTTCACCAAATTATACCTTTTCTCATAAAGATGTGATAGAATTCAGTGTAGCGTCATTTAAAGCCGTTTAAAGTACAAACCATTTTTTTGGTCCAATACGTGTTATCATTTAGGAAAATGACAAATAAATTTTCCCCAAGCAAGAAAATAATAATCTGGTTCTACAAAATATGATAATGTCATCTGGACAGACTTAACTATCCTTAAATTTTTTAATGAAATGATAAAAATACCTTTTAATTTAAAAAAGGTGTAATAAAGTTTTTTCATTTATAACTTTAATTTAACAAATAACTAAAGTGATTTGAACATTTACAACTTTTTTCATCATTTTTCTTTAATTAGTAAAGTGCAACAAAACTTTTTAATTCACAACTTTGGTTTTAGAGTTCATAACTCTGCTTCAATAAATGACTACAGTAGTTTAGACATTCACAACTTTATTTCACTATTTTTCTTCAATTAGCAGAGTGTAACAAAGCTCTTCTTCATCTACCATTATGGTTATGAAATTCATAAGTCTAGATTAGCAAATGATTAAAGTGGTTAAAACATTTACAACTCTTTCTCACCATTTTTTTCACTTTTTTTAAATTAAGAGGCATTCTTGTTATTTTATCAAAAACTTTAATGATAATTAGATCTTTTGAGACTTAAAAGACATTATCATATTTCACAAGTCTAAATTATCATTTTTTTATTTTTGGAGGGATTTATTTTCCATTTTTCCTAATAATTTTTGACTGTATTTATTTACCTAGCAATGCACAGGATATTTTAATATTTAAAAGATAAAATTAAAAATATTAAAATGTTCTTTTGTCTTATTTTATATAAAATCTTAGCTTTGTTTTTTAATTTTATAAAATATTTTTTATTTCTATAACTCCTAATACCGTTAGTTTTAAATAATCATTTTTTAATCAATTATTGTTATTTTTTATAAAAAATAAATTTAATATATCAATATTTAAAAATATTTTATTAATATTTAAAAGTTTAATATAAAATTTTTTTATCGATTACATCAATGACGTTAAGGTTAAAAGATTAAAAATACTTAATGAAATTAAACGACTAAATATGTATAATTTAGCCAAAACATATTGTCTTTCTGCACTCAAAATATCATATCTTGTTCATTTATATAAATTAAAAAATATACTCCCTACTAAATTCTCCCCCTCATAATTAGTTGAAGAAAAAAAATTTGCCCTTGAGAAATATTCTTGAATCCATTACTAGTTGTCTCGTATAAAAAAAAATCTAAGCAGCAATCTCTATTTTAGAATATGTTACAATTATCACAAGGGAAACTTTTTAATATACATCAGGGCTTTATGCATATTAAAAAATATAAAATATATATATTTTTTGAATTTTCTCCTCCTGTAAATAAAATATAATTAACTTGTTTTCTTGCAAATTGTTCGCCTATACATCATCTTAATAAAAATAAAATATGTACTATAATAAATTCTATATTATAATTTATGTTAGTACTTTTAAATTAAAATTATAGCAAAAACTTAAAAAATAAAAATTTGTATATAGTAAAAATGATTTTAAATTAAGTAAATACCATGGCCAGTATTATAGTACTACCTTTAGTCTTATAGATAAGTCACTTTTAACTACTTCACTGTTATTAAAGACACGTAGTTAAATAATTAGTTTTATCTAAAAATAATAATTTACCTTTATTAAATACATCATATTTAAAAAATAATTTCTCTTTGATATGTAAATCTTTTCTCTATTTATAAAAAATTTAAAGGGTAAAATTAAAAAAAATAATTAATAATCCATTTTTCATGCAGAAAAAACTTATCAAACAGACCATTAATTATTTATAAAAAGTGATTCAAATATAAGATTGATATTAGTATTATTTTATCAATTATATGTATTGCATTCTTACAATTTCTCAATTCTTCTCCCAACTATAAAAGTTAAAAAAAACTAAAAAGATGTATTTTTCAAAAAAGTTTAATGGGGTTACTATTAAAAAAATGTTAATAAACAGTAAATTCCATTAAACTTTACAATATGTATAGATAATTTATAATTTTTTACGCGTGTATATTACAAATAAAAAATAGTTTACTATTTGAAGATACTATTTATATTTTATTCTACAGTTTATTACTTTTACACCTTTATAATTTATTATCTTATACATACATAAAATACAAGTAATAAATATTGTCTCATCGTTTTTAACACGAATCTCATATTCACTGTATTTTTTCATTGCAGGTCCCACATTATCTTTGAACATACAAGAAATTTAAAAAAAAATTGTTACGGTTCATCTAACTTAGATGAAGAATAACAAATGATAGTTTTGATAATATATAAGATAAAATAAGATAAGATTACTTTCAAAATTGATCGTAGCTATCGTTCATATGAAATCCATTTAAAATATAAACTAGAGTGGCGTAGTGCTAGTAGTTGAAACTCACAAGCCATTCACGAACATTATCATTTCTACTTTTGAATCTATACGTAAAGATTGAAATGTGTTTATTATTTTAGTCTTGGGATATTAGTTCTTTTCCTGATCCTTTTGTTCAGAAATGTCATAATCATAGCTCTGTTTGTAAAATCTTTAATCATCCTCCAACTTTTGTTACTCCTTGAGATGATGTGAGCTTATTTTCTCCCTATTTTTGTTTTCATAACAGATATTCAAATTTTCATTAAAAAAAAAAACACTCAGAACGCGTATCATAAAAAATCAATGAAATTGAGGTCCAATAATTTTTGTCTTTTAGACTAAAATCTAGTGTAGAATAGTACTTCCTCCGTCTCAAATTATGAAATACTTTTACACAAAATTTTACATACTAATAAAATTTATTAAATATACATTACAATCTTATTTTTTTAAGATAAAAATATAAATTTTTAAAAATGTTCTTCATTTAATATTCTATTGATAAAAGAATATTGAAAAGAAAAAATATATAGGAAGGA